CCAGAGCTTAGCGGTCCTGCCACCTCGACCTCCGGGGCGAGAAAAGCTGCTCCGAGTAACCTCTGAGGCTTTGCCAGAGCAAAGCTGGGGAGGCGCAGGACCCCTCCGCCGCTGCCGCTTTGCTCCTGGTGCCTTTTGTCTGCTGGAGACGGTCCCCAGCAGACCAGAGGCACCGGGAGCAAAGCGGCAGTGGCGGCGGGGTTCCGCGCCTCCCCGGCTTTGCCACAGCAAAGCCTCAGAGGCGTGGGACCCCTCCGCCTCCCCGGCTTTGCCACAGCAAAGCCTCAGAGGCGTGGGACCCCTCCGCCTCCCCGGCTTTGCTCCGGGTGTCCCTGGTCTGCTGGAGACAGTCCCCAGCAGACCAGGGGCACCCGGAGCAGCTTTTCTCGCCCCGGAGGTCGAGGTGGCAGGACCTCTGCGCTCTGGGCGGTCCCGCTGCCTGCGAGCTCCGGGGCGAGAAAGCCCCGTTTGTAAGTGCCTGTATTCTATAGTCCCTGGGGACAGGACTGGCAGCTAGTGCAGTCCAGCCCCAGCCCCAAGGAGCACCCTCTCACTCTGTGCTGCTGATTCTGATACAGAGGTAGCAGCGCAGGGGTGCCAGGTAGGAGCTGATCTGCAAAGGGAGCCAGTTTAAAAACCAGCTCCCTTTGCAGACCAGTTCCTTGTCGCCCCGTGCTGCTGCCTCTGATGGGCGGCTTTAGACTAGTTGCCAGCAACTGGTGCCCTAGGCGAACCATACAATTGGCGCCCCCACCTCCAAACCCCTCAACGATATTGTGCCACCATTTAGCCCCATTTAACTTGGTGCCCTAGGCGACTGCCTAGTTTGCCTATATGCACGGGCCCCCCCTGCCTCTGATACAGGGGTGGCGGCAGCCCCTTTCTTGGGGGAAGTGTGGGTGGTCTATGCTTCTGGACCCAGCATGAGCCAGAACTGTGCCAGGCTGCCTGCCCGTCTACCCCCTAATACACTTTAAAAGCAGAGCCGCAGCAGGGATAGGTCCTGGACCCGTCGAAAGCCAGGACTGAGGTAGGCCAACCTGCTAAAAAATTTACTGGGAGGAGGGGGGGGAGGAAATGCATGTAGTCTATAGCATTAACCTACAAGCTTTTGCTTATAGGTTAATCGACTACACTATTACATCCTTACAACCAAACAGTCCTATTGAATTTATTAGGGAATGAATACTATCCTGAAGCATTTTTATACCAACCTATAGCAGACACATCCCACTCAATTAAATTCTATGAACTTTTAGAGCAATTTATCTAGAACTCTATTGGGATAATCTCTCATAGCAAATCCTGCATAATGCAATAGAGAAGGTAAAGCACTGTTAAGTATCTGTATACCCAGGGCTCAACAAATAATACAATCTACTCACCACGGGCGAGTAGATTGTAACCCGGAAGAGCCGGGTTCGGGCGATCTGCGCATGCGCAGATCGCTGGACAGTGCGGCTGGTGAGCGGGGCTCGCCGCGGTTAGGCGAGCCCTTTGTATACCTATCCTATTCAATAAATGGGACAGATGAATCACTGAGATATTTTATAACTTGGTTAAGCCAACACAGCAAACTAGTGATTAGGAATAAAACCACTTTTCCTACCTTAGTCCTCTAATCTATCCCAATAGAGTGTAAA